ATTTTTTGTCCTGAAATTGCAATATTTTGTCAGTTTTAAGTATATTTAAGTAAAACAAAATAGACAAATAATAAATTAATAATTATTTCTCAATAATTTCTATCTAGTGATATACCGACGAGTTCAAAAAGAAAACGACGAATTGTTGTATACGGTTGGGTCACTCGTTATGGTCCGCAATCAGTTAACGTTAACTTTTTTTCGCTGGAACGACGTGCCACGCACGTCGAGAATTTTTTCTCCCAAAATTGCAATATTTCCTCAGTTCTAAGTATATTGAAGTATAACCCAGACAAAGCAAATAATAAATTTATTACTTCTCAATAATTTCTATCCAGTGACATCGAACCAGCCGAGTTCAGAAAGAAAAAGAAAGCAACGAATTATCGTATACGGTTTTGGTCACTCGTTATGGTCCGCAATCAGTTGCCAGCGCAAGTGGTTAAAGAACCCCTAACTTTTTTCGCTGGAACGACGTGCCACGCACGTCGAGAATTTTTTCTCCCAAAATTGCAACATTTTCTCAGTTCTAAGTATATTTATGTATAACCCAGGCAAAACAAATATAAATTTATTACTTCTCAATATTTTCTATCCATAATTTCTATATATCATACCGACGAGTTCAAAAAGAAAGCGACGAATTATTGTATACGATTTGGTCACTCGTTATGGTCCGCAATCATTTGATGTTAATCTTAACCTCTGAACTCGGCCGGTCACTGGATAGAAATTATTGAGAAGTAATAAATTTATTATTTGCTTTGCCTGGGTTATACTTAAATGTATTTAGAACTGAGAAAATATTGCAATTTTGGGAGAAAAAATTGTCGATGTGCGTGGCACGTCGTTCCAGCGCAAGAGGTTAACAATCATGGTGGCTCGATGGTGATGGTGGATTTTATTTTCGGAGATACATACGTGTCGTCGAGAGTCGTTTGAGGAAGAGTGCAAGGCCGTTGAGGTGGAAGAATGTTCCCGAATCCGGTTTTCATGGATTTCGTGTCCGACCCGTCTGTATACCCCATAATGCAGAGACAACCGCCCACTTTTCCGCCTTTTTTTAGTGATTGTTGTTTCAAACTCGTTCGAAACCGGCGTCGTTAGCCTTGAACGTACACACCTGTCGTGAGAAATAATTCGTGAAAGTATACCTCCAAGCCTTTCGGTACCTTGGAGTTTTCTAATTATCTCTCTTAAAATTTATTACGGCCTGTGTCTGAAAAAAAAAAAAAAAAAAACGACTAACGCTTGAGAATTTTTCAAATGCAATTTATTCTCACTGTCTTTAGTTTGAAATATTTTATTTTCGATTAAGTATTTTTTTTTTCTTTGATATAACATATTATGGTATTTTTTGTACTCTGTTATACGTTTACTATATTCTACGTATAGTATTTTATTATGTTAATCCTTTATTTTATTATAGTATTTTACTATACGTCACCATTATTATTGTCATGTCATAGTACATTTTTTACATGTTATATTGTAATATCACAGTACAGCACAAAATTTAAATTCAAGTAACATTCGGTATTTAAATTTCAAAATCGTTGCTCAACTCATTATAGTATTTTTTTAATACGATAATATATTATATTGTTACACAACGTAAAATCGTTGGTCAAGCTCTGCATCTTCCTTTCGAGGTCTGTGGCGGCACTCTTCTCGCGATATATAGGTCAACGAAGCGCCATCGATCAAGTTGCTGTATAATTGCCTTCGCAGGTGCCGTCTGTGTTTCTCCATTTGTCTCCCTTTTCTTTCGTGCGCGTTGTATGCTAATACAACTAACACGTTGTAAGCCTGAATTTTCAACGTTCTAACTGTACGGCGATTTATGGACTGAGGTGCCCGTTAAAATTGACATAGTCATTCAAAGTTCCAGCCGAGGGACCTGCGCGTTTTTCACCGTTAAATGGCTGCAATTTTTAATCCGAACCTTCCAGCAATTGCACACAGTTGTTCCCTGAGTAGACGAACGAGATGAGAAATGAAAGGAGAAAAGTGAAACAGAATCATAGAAGCTTCTAAGAATATTGAGAACATTAATTGCTAAGAATATTAAAACAACAGATTAACGCATGTTAAATGTTCAATCTCAATCCTGTTGCGTTCTTTTGGTTCGTTTATCTGTAATTTAAATCGCCACGCACTTTTTGTTTGCTAAAATGATTATCAAACAGTGTCACAAATAAAACAATAATATTACGGATTCTTCCAGAAATCTCTCGAAAATGACTGTCAATTTTTTTGACTTGAGAAGCTTTTGATCATTCTTCAATCACCTAAACATCACCAAAACATTAAGTCCCTTTCTCATTGGTGAGAACAGAAGCAAAATTAACGCTAGAACTACCGATCTCTGATCTCCCTTTCGAAATAATCCACGTGTAAATGATATCTGAATGATGATAACACGATAATCACTGTAAATCATTCGATTTCTCCGTCTCAAAGTTACCAGTTTCGAAGATACAATTTGCTATCGTTTCAGCAATTGCAAAGAAATAAAATCGATATCTATAGTGTTCGACGAATTTCGAGGCTCGGGATTCAACAGTCAATCGACCATGTGGCGCGATTAACAGAACGTTTCCCTTGCAAAATCCGTACACGAACGGTGCAGCGATTATTGTGTACGGATTATGGTGATTTCCGAGCGATTTGTAACAATGGAAAGTGACAGTTCGATCGCGTCTTGGTCATCGTGGGAGTTGATGGACTACGATCTGAGCCGGATTTACATATACGAGAAGGAATACCGCGACTACGTCGTGTATTTCTCCGCGAACGGCGACTCACCATCGTCCTCCACTCTCAGGAGCTTCGAATACAGTTCGCTCGAGAGCTCAGGTACCACCTCTGCAAGAAGTTACCTTCGCGGCTATTCCGATTATGGATTCAGATCAAGTAGTTGTAATATTTTTCATTTGTTCTATAATTATATCTAGATCCTCCTGAAAATTCCAACTGATAATTTACAAGAGTTTACGACTTTAAAATTCAACAGTTACGTGTGTTAAGCGATATATATTTCGTTTATTCAAATTGTCTAAACTCTCATTAGTATTAAAGAATGATTTTCTTACTTCGGTCATAACGAATTTGTCTGTGAGGAGGTTGAGCAGCTTTCGAATGAAACTAAACGCAGACCAAAGGCAAAAGTAAAAACATAGAAACGGTTGGTTTTTTTTTTTCTTTTTAAACTTCGAGCAAGAAATAATTAAAAATGTGCCAGACAATTCACCTTTCGTTGTTTTTATTACGATCGCGTAAACGGTCATTGATCGTTTTCATATTAGCGGAGAGTAACCAATTTATTTCTTCTAGATTATATTTTATTTAATTAATTTAATTTATAATCAAGCTAATAGACGATTAATTTTTATTAATAAAAGAATAATTAATTTTATATCTTCATTAACAATAATATAATTTATTTATATTTATGTAATGTTAATTTTTCTCTTTTAAAATTTAATTAAAGAAATTATCTTATTGATAAATTTAATTTTTGGTTTAAACATTTAATTTTTATAATTTTGATTTATTAAAAATTTATAAATATTTTATTATTAAAATATTTATATTAAATTTTATTGTAAATTTAATTTTAATTAAAAATAAATTTTAAAATAATAATTTTTTAAAAATTTTATTTATATAATAATTAATATATATATATAAAATTATTATTTAATAAAATATTATATATAATTATTTTAATATATATATAATTTAAATAATTAATAATAATAATAATAATAGAACGTATACAAATATTAAAATATTAATAAAATTGAAAATTTTTAAATATAATTATAAAATTGTTTTTATATTGAAAATGTAATGTTTTAAGTAAACTACATATTTAGAAAAAGATATTTATATCTAATAAAGATATTTATATCTAATTATAAAGAAGAAATTGAGTTGCAGCGTAAAGAAATCATCGAAAATTTTACGACGATATCGCCAATAAAATGTGACATTGTATAAATTTTTCTTTTAGAATCGTAGGAACTTGATTTTCTTCGTGAAAATGATCTTGTATTGTATTCTTCTCCAATTAGCACGGGCTATATTCGTCGAAAGCGTTGTGAACGAGATAAATGACTCCGGTGAGTCAAAGAAAATTGGTGGGCAGCGCGTTAATAGCTTGGATAAAGATGAAATCACGCGTCGTGTTAACGCACGTATAATTTAGAAAGTCGACCGAGCACGTTTCAAAGAAGAAAAATAACGAAACGATTTCCACGGTTGTGACTAAGGGGGCACATTCTCCTTGTCATTTGAAATAAAAGTGATAAACATAACGAATTTGAAACAGCGAATCACTTCTACTGAATTACTCTTCTTAACCTTTTGCTGAGTCGAGAATTTTTTGTCCCAAAAATTGGAATATTTCCTCAGTTTTAAGTATATTTAGGTATAACCCAGGCAAAACAAATAATAATTATTACTTCTCAATATCTTCTATCCATAATTTCTATATATCATACCGATGAGTTCAAAAAGATAGCGACGAATTATTGTATACGATTTGGTCACTCGTTATGATCCGCAATCGGTTGATATTAATCTTAACCTCTTGCGCTGGAACGACGTGCCACGCACGTCGAGAATTTTTTCTCCCAAAATTGCAATATTTTCCCAGTTCTAAGTATATTTAAGTATAGCCCAGGCAAAACAACTAATAAATTTATTACTTTTCAATAATTTCTATCTAAATCAAAAAGATATACCGACAAATTCAAAAAGAAAGCGACGAATTGTTGTATACGGTTTGGTCACTCGTTATGGTCCGCAATCAGTTGCCAGCCGCAAGTGGTTAAATCGCCTTCGTTTATCAAATATTCGTTACGACGGGAACGTGCTTTATTGATTTTTCTCGGATAAAGGCCGGCTTCCACCGCGTGTCTGAATTCTAAAAGATTCTAAATTAACAACGATTAAACGTAAACTTGCCTGTTTAGTACTTGCCGGTGCGCACGTAATGGCCGCGTTCGCTTATCAGCTCGCGCTCACCGGCTCCGCTTGCTTCTTGCCGCGAAGTCACGACGTTCTCGCACAGAGACTTGGAAAATTAAGTAGATATTGTTCCTGGAATCGTTGCACGTTTCGCTAGACAGAATCATCTCCTTCAGGAGTTTCCGACGCGGCGGTACGTGACTGGATGTTTGATGCTGTCGGTGATTTCAACGCCTGTATAGGATGACGCTCGCCACAGCGACGCCATTATGATTTCGCAGGCCCCGTAGAGTCGTGATCACTATTTGGGAAAAATATTTTATTTCAGTTGGCGGAGGATTTGAAATAGTTCGCAACTCGCGAGATATTTAATAGACGAAACAATTTTTTATCTAGTTTCGTACTTTCGCGAAAAGTATGAGTTTCTATAAGTAAAATAAATATAATTTTAAAAAAGTTCTATAGAGTGAATAATATAATGATGATGAATGTATAATATTCCGATAATTATACATTCTAATGATTAATTATAAAATAAATGAATAATAGTAATAATTACTATTTTAGTTTACTTTTATTTTATTTTACTCACTGGAAATTTGTCAGAATAATTATACTCCGAGATTAATTACGTAGATATCGTACAACTGAAAGTCACTGTTTTCAATTAACGATTATCTCTGCGTAAATGGTTTTTTCCTTTATTTTTTTTTTTTTTTTTTTTATCGCACAACTCCGTCAACGAGACTTAATTTCAAATGGCACTCACGGATTCTCGATCTGTCTTTCAGATACGGACAGCGAGAGCGAGGATGGCTCGTCGACGAGGTTAAACTTCAACATCATCCCCTACACGGTGAGTAATTCCGTTCGTTCCTCTATGCAACGCGAATAGAAACGAATTGAAAGTCAAGGAGAAGGAACGTAACCTCTGCGCTCCGGGTATTCATAAATATCTTTTATCGATTGAATCTGTCGCGATACGCGTTTGATTCATGCTAAGAGAAGAATGTTTTATCTATTCCATCCACGGTTTATTTACATACTGCTCTGAATTCACATAAATCACCGCTGCCCCAGAGACAGGGTGAATGTTTTATATTGCAAGTTTTCATCCATTATTTCGTCTGCTTTCTTCATACACATATAAACTGTCCAATGCTGCATTCTTATTTCGAAACGTTTAGGTTTCTCGGTTCTTTCTCGAGCTTCAAACAATTTTTCGAATTTGTTGGTAGTAGTTGAGAGAGATAAATTCAATTAAATAAATTAAAGTAGAATAGAATAAAATAAAATAAAATACAGTAAAGTAAAATAAAATAAAATAAAATAAAATAAAGTAAAATAAAATAAATTAAATTAAATCGAATTTTCAATTAAGCGATTTAAATAAATTGCCAAATATACAAATATTTAATACACATAAATATATAATACACTTGATCCACAAATGGAAATAAATGAACGCGTGTTTGCTTGACTGTGAACAGAAGTGACTTGCGAATTAAAATGCAAGAGAATCGTTGATCGGGATATTTTATTAAACTCACGTGCGTCGATGGATCGTCGAGCGTGATTGTTACATTGTTTACCAGCCACCGTCGGGAAACTCTTGTTGATCTGCAATTATTAAACCGTTGCAGAACGTATTATTGACGATCTCTGCAATTGTTAAGCCTCTTTATCTCCTTTATCTTCTATCTCGTTCACGTCGTTCGTTTCGAAACAAGAAATTTATTAACACGAGAAACACTTCCTAATGTTACAGTCGCTCGTTCCTCTTCTTTTTTATCTGCTTCGTGTGATCATGTGATCGACGATCCGAGATTATCTAACCGTGTACAATCGCGTCGTTATCTTGTATCTCCGCGTATCTTAAAATATACGAGGATCTGCCAAATTTTAAAAATCCTGCGGGGAATAGTCGATGACGTTGCTGCAGCGTCGTGCAATTGTTTTCACGATTATGTGACCAACGACACGATTGTGCCTCGTGTAATTTTCAACAGAGAAATGTTTTAATTATTTCCACAGCGATCGGCCAAGTAATTATCAAAGCTGAAACAACAACAGCGAAGCCGAAGCTTCTATTATTAATGGTTAATAGAGAATAATGAATGAGATTCATGTACGTTGAACGTCGTTTAATTTCTAGCCATTGGCCAAATAATTATCGAAGTTGAGACGACAATAGTGTCCAAGGCTTTTATCATTTAACTATTATTACAAAGGACAATGAATGAATGACTATTGCATTGTTTGCGTGTCGAACGTTGTTCAGTTTCCAACGATCGATCAAATAATTGTCAAATTTGAAACGACGATAACTTATTATAGAGAATAATTAAATAAATAATTAATAATTAAATTAAATTATTATAGAACGAATGAATGAATTAATATTGTTTCGATCTGTATCTTGAATGTTGTTTAACTTCTAAAGTGATCGATCAAATAATTATCAAACAAACAATAATGTCCGCAGCTTTTACATTGACTATTGTAAAGAATAACGAATGAATTTTGAATGTTGTTTAACCTCCAGTGATAATTTCCAATGACCAAATAATTATCAATGCTGAGACAACAATAGTGTTTCCAAAGCTTCCATTACTATCTATTAATCTATAATAATTTATTAATAATAAGTGAATGAACGAATGTTGCTTTATTTGCAATGTTGAATACTGTTTAATTTCAAGTGATCGAGCAAATCATTTTTCAGCAACAGTATCCAATGTTTTCTATTACTATTTGGTCTAAAGAATAACGAATTATAATTTAAATATTAATTATATTTAACTAATTAGTAATTTGGATACTCGTAGTATTATAATTTTGGAAAATTATAATTTAAATACTAGTAATATTTAATTGTAATTTTTGAAAATTATAATTTAAATACTAGTAATATTTAATTGTAATTTT